AAAGAATGTCCTTGAAAAAATAAAATAACAATGGAGAAAACGAATAACCCTGACGAATCCCACTTGAGGTTGACACCTTCTGACTCAACTACAACTGTTCGCTAAGAAATCCAATACAAAGTTAACCTGCTTCTTTTCAATCCTGTGAAACCTGTCGATCTACGAAATCGAACGTTCCCTTAATGTCAAGAAGTACAGCTATGGTTGTATTTCCTTTATAGCACCTGTCGAAGAAATTCAATTCACTTTATTTAGATGTTAGGGCCATTTCGTACAGAAGCGAGAAGATAAAAGCGAATGACACATGATTAGACCTGATTTTAGGACTAATAGTTCAACCTGGAAAATTCTGGTCCTAAATAAGAGATCCATATGCATCCAAGTAACCGGAAAGTACGAATGGAGTTACTCTTGTTACCGGTTACTACTAGAATACATCATATGGTGTTGCACGAGATAGATAGTCTTTAAGTCAAAAGATCGCAGCGTCATAACTGACAAGTTAATTATCAAAATTTGCAATGCCTAAATCTAAGAAATTCTACAAATATGAAAAAAACATACCTGATTACAATATCCTATAAATACTGACTGTATGAATTGTACTTATTGTGAAGAGGTGAATAAAAACTAAATGGTTTTTCAGACCAATGGAAACATTAATCACGCTTTGTGAAACGACCAAGTGAGTAATGTGGAGGTTAGACTCGGTTTATAAACTAAATATGGCAGATCAGCTGATGAGTTTGTAAATCTTCATCTACTAAAGTGGTCAGGACATGTGTCCTATATATGTAAATAACATCTACCTTGATAGATGATGTCCGCTGGTTGAGAAGGTGGTTGGAGGAAAACTAGAGGCACCCATAGCAAAACATGGAATCACCCCATTAATTCAATGCCTATTAGTCTGAGCCATGTTGATAGATGCAAACTACCTAGTTGGAGTATGGTTGATTATTGTAACCGATGGTTGGAAACTAGGTGACAAAGTTCAAAATCGTTAGCAATAGAGCATGTGCATTTACTCTTTGTCATCTCTTAAATCTTGAATTCTTAATTCACCTAATAAAATTTTTTTTCTTTTATTTCACAGATCCATATTTTCTGTTTGAATTTTATTTTCTACGCCTGATCTCCTCTATTACCACCAATACTTTTACTGCCTCTACTACTCTGGGATTGGTTTTAACAAACCTATCTTGTTATGTTAACGGGGTGTGGCAACTTGAAGCAATGAGTACATGTCCCATATTTTACGTCGCGTATGACTGAATAACTATGTGTGATCATTACTACTATATTATTTCCATTTTTTTGTAATTTATTTTGTCGTGTTGACGTGATATAACAACTTGGGTCAACGGACATCTTTATTGGGCTCTACTTTGAGAATGATCAACCAACCGACTGACAAACTTTTCTCTGCAAACGAAGAAGCTTATGAATTGAAGCAAAACAAAAAGTTATAATGAAACACAAGAAAGTGAACTAAATTAATGTTCAATTCGAATGTTGTATTCGTACGTATATACGCGCAGTTAGTAAATGAATTGTTTTAAAAAAAAAAACAGATTTTGTAACATGCTCAGAAAAAACAAATGAAAAAAGAAAACAGTGGAAGTTAGGTAACATTTCGTATAAATGTCTCTTTTATTCAACACCGAACGCATGAGAATACGCAAATGTTAAATTATTAAATGATAGATCTTAATAATTAATATTTTTCAACTATAAATAAATTCTCATACTCAATAACAAAAATTTTCTACTTTTTGTGATAAATTTTTTTTAAAATTAATCTACAAAAACTTTTCTAACGAGCTATTTCTAGTTGGATAAACATTGAGTAAAATGATAATCTAACTGCTCGTTATTTCTCTTATCATCAACAATTCCTAGATCAGACCGATAATCATTATTTACAAATATATATATGTATATAAAATGGCCAACTGATTCAATAGAGAATATGACCATTCAAAGCAACTCCTATTGGTCAGTAGTCAGTTTATATATATATTAATCAATTGAATAAAGATTTCGTTAAATGTAAACAAAAACAACACCGTACATACATATAATACTGAGTTCTCCAATCAATTGACAAATCCCCTTGTTTTGAATTTTATTAAATATTTTAAAATATTTAAGGCAGTGTTACGGTCAAAAGGATGAATATGGCATTGATTTATTTAATGTTGAAAATAGTTCGGTATTAGATAGATAATCACATATGAACTGAACAAAAACTAACGGTCCATTTGGATTTGATTTATAAGAATTTGTTTCTTTTAATATCTGATTAAGACAGTGTTTATTGGATGAATCGATATTAAGTGGATAAAGTAGAAGTGCCTAATTTCCAATCAATTAATTCTTAAAGTGATAATGGCGATCTATAACACAAACTGTATAGAAATTACCCATACAAGTGTTATACAGGTAGAACATTAAACTAGTAATGGGAAATTTTGTAAAAATATAAAGTAAAGACTGGATGACCGATGGTGCAGCCCATACATTATTAAATCGATGAGTGATTGATTAGGTGGATGAACCTTCAGCCACCAAACCACAAGTTTGAAAAAAGCCCCACCATATCGAATGGTATCAATAGTCTTCACGTTTAGATTGTGCCTCTAAGCCAAGCACACGAATCTGTACCTGGAAAATGAATTATATCACTAAAAAGAATCGATGGCCAGCTCTAGTATCGAGCTGTCTGTTTCTGCTGATCATCAAAATGATAAACAGATCACATCAGCCACCGATGAAGGGGCTCGATAGAAGACTGTCGCTCATTCTGAAGCACATGCTTAGATTCAGATCATGCTCTAGTACGAGCGCGTATTTGTCTGTGTCTCACTGGACGTAAGAAAGACGCTGCAAGGAAACCTCTTAGGGCCCTACTTAATGATAGTCAAGCTAAGAGTATATTTCAGGAACAACTAGAAAAACATGTTAGGCAGCCATGTATGATGCCCACCCTGAGGCAGCATGGAATGATATCCGAAAAGCTGTGAAAACAGCAATGATATCTGCTAGTACGGTAAACCACAAGGCAAGGGAGAAACACTAGATCTCAGTAGCATCTATCGCACTGATAGATGCTCGAAAACTGATTCCATCTGGCTTCGAAAATAACGAAGAGCGGAGTCAGCTTAAGCGCAAGCTGACAAGAAGTCTACGCAATGACCGTGAACAGTGGTGGGTAGCGAAAGCAAGAGAGATGGAATAGGCAGCGGCAATAGGTAATAGCAGACAATTGTTCAGACTTATTAAGTAAACCGGTATTAGGAAACCGACTGTTGGCGAAACAATCTCAGAGAAAGATGGACATATTATACACTCTCAATCCAGGAGATTGGATCGATGGGCAGAACACTTCAGGGATCAGTTCAACTGGCCACCAGCCACACTTCGGTTTCCCATGATCTTCAGTCAACATAAATGGCAAGTTAATGTAGGTCCTCCGACTCTACAAAGTTGAAAGAGCTATAGGAAATCTGAAGCGAGGAAAAGCAGCAGGCCCTGACAGGTTTACTCCTGAATCTTTTAAGGATGATGGTGCAGTATTAGCAGTGAGATTAACTGAGGTCCTGTGTAGAATTTGGGAACTGGACGTAATCCCATCTGACTCTGGTCTCAATCACTGATTGTGCCAGCCTATAAGAAAGGACGAAAATCCTCTTGTGACAATTACAGAGGAATCAGTTTGACTAGTGTCTAAAATATTAACTTCAATAATACTTCGACGCCTAACCAAAGCTCGTGAAGAGCAGACTACAGAAAATCAGGCTGGTTTTCGACCTGGACGTGGTTGTATAGACTAGATATTCACATTACGTCAGGTCCTAGAACATCGACACACATTCAGACGCCCCACAATGGTACTATTTCTCGACCTTAAGGCATTTATTTTTATTTATTTATTTATTTGAACACATAAATATTGGTACAAGAGAGCGCCAATATATATGCGCCACACAAAACAATGAAAATTCGAAGAGAGATAGAAAAGAAAAAAACTAAGGAGCACAAAAGAAAAAGAGAACGATAACGAAGAGATTGGTGTAAGGTAGTGTGGTAGTAACGAGGGAACGGAAAGGTACAATCAGAAGAAATCTTTCAATACTATGAAAAACGACTGAATACTAGTAGTTTCATTACATTGTTGTGAACGATTAAGTTGCATATAAACAACACTTATGCAATAGTCGTAATCTGAATACCGAACTGATCTTAGCTAGACCACAACTGAAAACCAGGAAGCACTGGACTACTGTTTCGTCCCAGCATGGGACTCCGCGGGAGTCTCCACCCACGACCTTCGGTCTAGCGAGAACGCTCAACCTCTAGACTATTGAATTGGCATCCGATAGTTGTTTAACTAAGATCAGTTCATGAGTTGACCTATGAAAATGCTAAGCCCCGTCATCTTTGCCTGCACGAACCTCAATTAGTGGTTAAACGCCATGACACATCCCTTTTCATATCAATTTATATGGACAACTGTGGACACAAATTTGACTGGAAAATGTTGAGATCTTAAATAGAGGGAACACTAAAAACACCAGGGAATTTCTAGAAGCTTGGCACTCAATTCAATCAGCAATCAACAAACATATTGAAATCGATCCGACCTATCAGCCAATCAGAAAAATCATGGGACATACAATCAAAGTAAAGTAGACAATGACGGGTTAAAGGTCAATAATAACCAATCAAGATTGAGGTTGACAGGACAAACTGTGAGTCATTTGTGGAGAAATTCGAACACTTTACTTCTGCTTAAAGTTTGTGCCGATCATGTTGTTCGGAAGAACATTGAAAGCTCTACGACCAATTCATACAGCTCAGAGAACAAAACTCCACTTGAAAATTATAATCTTGATAAACCCCTCTATACTAATTTAATTAATCAGGGAAATTCACTTATTTATTTACTAACAGGAATGATCTATAAAATTACTGCGAACAAAAGTGTTATACATTACCTTTAATAGAATCATCAAGTTTCGACATCACTGGCAGCACACCACTATCTTTGGGCTGTTCTTGAATAAATTTAGATGATATATCTGGATCTGAAAAGCATAAAGGAAAGTGTCAGCTGTCACATGTTTGAAAATATATTGAAAAATATTTTAAACAGAATTATTCAATCCAAACAACAAATTTACAGGAAACTTAATTTAGTAATTATGTCTGAATTCATTACACCAGCTGTAAATTATGCTATACTGTATTTAAAATATCGATACTATTTTGTATATATGAAACGAAACGCAACCAAAACCTGAGAAAGTTTAGTGTTGTTCAAGCTAACAAGTTATGGTTCAATAATGATGTGAGTGTGTCATACTTCATGATGACGAATCAGTTAATTTTGTGAAACCACAATGGTTGATTTAAAAGGCATAAAAGATTAACACTACACAACATAGTTAGGATACTTTTTGATCTTTAAGAGTGCTGTTAATGTGGACCATAGTTTTATTAATACTTTCTTAATACCTGTTGTAAAGTGAACCACGATAAGCCTTTACACTAATAATCAGCTAATAACTAATGGCGAATGTCAAGGTAAACAAAAATCCTAACACTTTTAATTCCATGTCATTTGTGAGTTTACAAATGTTAGATACCTGGAAATAAATAACAGAAAACTAAATCAAGACCTCATACATTTTAGCGCTCCTTAACATAGAGTATTTGGTACTGTGAAGAAATTAGCATTTCATCAAAGTTTGAAACTAGTGTCAAGTTCATCATCGAATCATTCTGTCTGAATGTTTATCTACTTTGTTCTAAGTCACAATTTATTTCTGAGGAGTTTTGATTAAAGCGAAATACGTGGAGTGAAATTTGAGTATGTAATCTACCAGTTGAAAACCAACTCTTCCAATCACTAAAATGATCGTAAAACTGAATAATCGAAATATTGAGCTGCAGGTTAACTAAAAGTAACCAAAATAATTACAAATACAAATTCCTTCAGTACTGTAAAAAATAACCATTTACGTAATTAGAGTTGCACACGAACATTTTAGCTGAGTAATCCAATGGATAATATAAAGTAGTTCAACGAAATAAGCTGTCATATCAACAACGACATATAGACACACTAAACAAATTTTACGTAGAGCACAGTGTACTTCTTTGATCTAGGATACAAGTGACCCTAGTGTACCTAGAAGCACCTAGAAAAGAAGTGCACACATCAATGAATAGCAAATCAACTCAACACAATTACTTGGGAATTATATATGCGTCAAACGGTTTAATGATAGCTTTTCACCACCTACTTAACTATTTTGTTTTTAACGCACTATTAAAATAAGGTTATTAGGAACTGAAATTATTTACACCATACTTGATTTTTGTAAAGATCAATAATCAATCTATACATTTTTCACGATGAAATTTTGAATATAAATCAATTGAAACTGGACATTGTTGATTATTTTTTCTAGTTGAACGGTAGTCAACTTTAATGATGATGACAACAGAAACGAGAATAGAACATATACAGATATAAAAAAGACTTTTTTGTAATAGTAAATAACCTTGACCGGTTAATGTTTGTGTGTTAACCTTTGACAAAATAAGACAAACATATCTGACGCATGTTAGGGTTACTTTATCATAATGATTATTATTTTTTTATTATTATTACCATACTACTACCAACACAATATGAAATTTGTGAGAAGTTAACAGCACAATGAATGAAATAAAACAGACGATGACCTATAAAATGAGACGAGACTAGAGAAAAACTAGACATTATTATTACGACCATAATACAATTAAGGTCAAGAAAAAAAGAGAATTAAAGACAACTTACGAGTGGTTTATTTAAAAATGTGTATAATATATACATAAAATGTTAAAACTTAATGATCTAAGCACGAATTGACCTTTTTCAATATTTTATGAAGTACACTAGAATAAATTGATAACTAAATTGATTAGAAGGTTCTTTATCAAGGATTTTTTAAATTCAGCATTATTCGCTTGCAGTAAAACATTTCTTAAAGTAAACTGAGTGTTGGTCGTTTCAGAATGTTGATTTATTTACTAAGTTGTTGATATGCTATTTCGCTATTTGAATGAATGGATATCATTACTACGTTAGTTATAAGCAACCTAGAACTTATATCAATTGGTTCGAGATGTTACATAATATCAAAACGAACCCAAGAGTAGTAGAATTAGTAACAGTATCAGTAGTAGTAAAAAATTAGACACCTAGATGCTATTATTCGAGAATAAAAAAGGAATTCCAAGAATAAAGTGCATAATATCATTTAAAAAGTCAAATTCGAAAGGAAGACAAAGAGTGAGTGCACCTGCGCCATTGTGAACGATTTTGAAGCATGTCACCTAAAGTCTCTGATCATTGGTTTCAGTAATCACGCAGACCCCAACAAGGCATTCTACATCTATCAACACGTCTCAGATCAAACGTCAACGATTTCATAAATTGACTATATGTTTTTGGTTAGGCCGCTCATAACTTTGTACCAGTATAACCCAACCCTTTTATTTATTTATTTCAACACATAGATATTGGTACAAAGAGGCACCCAACCCTACATCGACAAATATCGTGAGTTCAGGCAGGCGGAGATTGGGTACATGTAATACATGTCTCAATCAGCACAGTCCATGAAGATTCACAATCACAATAATTAATTCGACATTTTTTACTAGTCCCTTGCATCTAACTTCAGAATAGCTAACGTAATGGTCCTAACATACGTGAGTAATGCTTAGAAGGCATTTATGATCAGATATTAACACCCTACGAATATCCCTTATTTTCAAAGGTTTAATTTACGAAAACAACAACCAGTTGAAGAAAAGACATTAATCAATATTCACTTAAGTTATATTAATTCATAAGTAAACAACCAAAACAACATATTTGTACTGAGAAAGTAATTTTTGATGACTAAAAATATTCAAACTTATTACCGAAAAATTACCTACAAGTTTTAAGTTCTGACTGATGCATGGACAGGAAACCAAGTTACCGTAATTGTTTGTTGAGAACTGAATTTTCCAGGATAACACAGTCAAGTATTAATATCTCTTGAAAACAAAAAGAAAAGCCGTACTCCGCTGAGAATACAACTTTTTGATAACTACTCATACCTAGTGAGAGAATGAATATCGTTTTAATGGTACCAGTGAATTACTAGACAAGTTAATGTAATATATTGCAGAAACCTAACGTAATAATTTCATTTATAAAGCCAAACTCTAATTTTATGATGAGCAAGGAACAGAGAACTAATGATAAACAGGTTATGGCAGCCTGTGAATAACAGGAAATACAATATCAATTAAAACAGTAATCGAATTCGAAATAAAAGTTTTCATAAGAAATCAACAATACTACAAAAATCATATAACTGAGATAAATGCAATATGGAGTTATACTAAGAACATACACTAACTGAAAAGGTTATAAAAATATATATATACATTACCAGATTTTAATCCAATTGTAGAACTTTTTCGATAGCAATCATGTGAATTAGGATTTATTGGACCATAAATTCCATTCATATCATCAATAGTATTCGTAATGTTATTATTACCATTACTACTATTATTATTAATGTTATCATTATTATTGGAAGATGATGATACTCCATAAAGTGACAAAGATACATTATCTTGACTATTGGATGATTGTACAGTGCTTGAAACAAAACAATCAAGTGGTGTACAATCTGACAAAAGTTCAGAAAGTAATGCACCCGGTTGTGTATCCACATTGTTCAAGAACGAGTCATATGATCGATCGACAGCAGACGATACAGAAAGACTACCCAAAGATGAATCCACAGATGTTTGATTAAACTTCATTGTGTGGAAGAAAATCTTGGTAAATAATTTTATATCCACAATTCATCGACCCTGAAAGTTTTTAAACAGATAAGAGATAATTAAGATAAGAAAATAGGATAAATAATGTAGCAAATATAAATACATATAATATAACTGCGCATGTAGCTCTTCCAGTACTACTGTCGGTTCCAAGCCCGTATAAAGGAGGAGGGTTGAGCATGAGGTCGGAACTCCATCCCGTAGGAAACAATCTTGCTAAAAAATGCCACCAAGATTAAACAAATAAAGTCATTTAAACTCTGCCCTGGGAGGCGAAAGAAGAATTATTACGCCCTTTAGTGAAAGCCGAGATTCTTTGGATGTCACAAGGCCGATGCCCCTTCTAACCACCAGAGCAACAATTTTTATAAGTACATGGAACGTCCGGACAATGTGGGAGACATGAAACACAAGTCAAATAGTTGCAGAAATGAGTAAATACAGCTTGACACAGAAGAAAATGTTCCACACATTAAGAGAGTTGCTCTGATGCTGTCCGAAGAATTACCAAATCAACTTATAGAATGGAAATCTCACGGATCCACTACCATCAAAGCATCATTCGAAACAAAAATCGAGGGAATCACAATGAATGTTATCCAAAGTTTTGCACCCACCAATGATAGCAACAACAACAATAAAGATAAATCTTATGAGAGGCTACAATCAAACACAGCGAAACACCCAAGAAAGGATCTCACCATTCTGATGGGAGAACTAAATGCCAAAGTCGGAATGGACAACACTGGATATGAAGATATCATAGGACGACATGGACGAGAATGGTGAGAGATTTGCAAATATATGTGCATTCAACATGTTGGTTAAAGGCGGCACAATATTTCCATACAAACACATATACAAAGCTACATGGATCTCACAGGATTACACCACGGAGAACCAGATAGATCATATCTGCATCAGTAAGAAATTCATAAGGTCAATGGGAGACGTGAGAACCAAGAGAGGAACTGACATAGCTTCAGATAACCATCTATCTGGTGATTGCCAAGATGAAACATAAGCTAACGAAGCAATGGACAACTGGACAAACAATATTACAAAGGTTCAATACAGTCTTCCTTCGACATACTGACAAATTCAACGAATTCAATATAGATCTCAAAAACAGGTTCAACGCCTTACAAGATCCACTCGAAGAAGAGAATAATACTATGAAAGACAAGTGGAAAGGGATCAAAGATGCACTAACTTCAACGTGTCAGGAGGTTCTGGGCCACAACAAGCATCACCATAAGGAATGAATCTCTATGGAAACCCTGGACAAGGTTCAGGAAAGGAAGAACAGAAAGACAGCAATCAACAACAGTGGAACAAGAACAGAGAAAGCCAATGCACATGGTGAATACTTAAAATTAAACAAGAGAGTGGAGAGGAGCATTAGAGCTGACAAACAGAAATACGTGGAAGACGAAGCAATGACAGCGGAAAAACCTACAAGAGAAGGGAATGTGCAACAATTATGTGACACAACGAAGAAACTGGTAGGGAAACAGAGCAAAGTAGAGAGACCGGTGAAGGACAAAGAAGGTGAGCCAATCAATCACTGATATTGAAGAACAGCGGAACAGATGGGTAAAGCACTTTGAAGAACTCTTGAATGGACCAGCTCCACTGAACCACGACCGGACATCGAAACAACACACACAGACCTTCCTATAGACGTCAATTCACCAACGACCGAAGAAATCAGGATGACCATCAAACAAATCAAGAGCAGGAAAGCAGCAGGACCCGACAATATACCAGCTGAAGCACCGAAGTAACTGAAAACATGCTTCATCTTCTATTCAAGATTTAGGAGAAACAAGTGCCGACGGACTGGAAAGAAGGACACCTCATCAAGATTCCGAAGAGAGCTCTGAACAAATGTGAAAACTACAGAGGCATCACACTACTGTCTTTTACAGAGTGTTGCTGAACCGGATGAAAGACGCAGCAGACGACTAACTTCGATATCAACAAGCTGGATTCCGTAAGGATCTGTCGTGCACAGACCAAATTGCGACACTACGGATCAGCGTCAAACAATCAGTTGAGTGGAACTCATCACTATACATCAACTTTATTGGTTATGATAAGGTGTTTGACAGTGTAGATAGGAGAACGTTATGGAAACTACTTCAACACTATGGAGTTCTTGAGAAGATTGTCAACATTATTCGGAACTCATACGACGGATTACAGTGCAAAGTCGTGCATAGATGACAGCTGACAGATGCATTCCAAGTAAGGACCGGAGTCTAACAAGGCTGCGCACTCTCTCTCTCTTCCTCTTTCTTATGATGGTCGATTGGATTATGAAAACCTCGACATCTGACGGAAAATACGAAATACAATGGATAACTCAGAACCAATTATAGACGATTTGGACTTCACAGACGATCTAGCCCTCCTATCGCATACACACGAACAAATGTAGATAAAGACAACTAGTGTAGCAGAAACCTTTGCATCAGTAGGTTTCAACATACACAAGGAGAAAACCAAGATCCTCAAACACAGCACGGAGAACACCAACCCTATCACGCCTAATCACGTACCTGGGAAGCATCCTCGATGAACAAGGAGAATCAGATGAGGACGTAAAGGCGAGGATTGGCAAAGCAAGGGCCGTATTCCTACAATTGGAGAACATATCGAACTCAAAACAACCTTCAACCAATGTCAAAGTCACAATCTTCAATACGGAATTCAAAACAGTCAGTTCTACTGTACGGAGCTGAAACTTGGAGAACTACTACAACCATCATCAAAAAGGTACAAGTATTTGTAAATAGTTGTCTATGCAAGATACTCAACATCTATTGGCCAGATACCATCAGCAAAAGCCTTCTCTGGGAGAGAACAAACCAGCTCCCAACTGAAGAGGAAATTAGGGAAAGACGATGGGAATGGATAGGATATATATTAAGGAAATCACCAAACTACATCACGAAGCAACCCCTAAGTTGGAATCCTGAAGGGGAGTGGAAAAGAGGAAGGCTAAAGAACATATTACATCGGGAAATAGAAGTAGATATTAAAAGAATGAATAACAACTGGAAACGATTGCCCAGGACAGGGTTGGGTGGAGTGTAGGTGGGCGGCCTATGCTCCTCCACGAGGAGTAACAGGCCGTGAACGTTGAATGCTACTTGACAATCGTTTGTAGCAAAAAATGAGAAGTGCAAATAGACTCATTCAATATTACTTTGACAATATCTAGAACACGGAGGATACACCTAGGGGAGTTGGAAAATCCTGATTCTAAACCAATGGTGTACATGGGATCTAGGGTACTGAGGGAATAAAAGGCGTATGAACCTATTGTTGGTCACCAGCTACCATGGGACTGCATCTCCTTACGTTGCTCCACTGCCTTGTGGATTAGACTTTTAGGTCAAAGGTTCGGGGTAGGGCCCTCAAAGAAAACCACCTGCTTCGGTTTGGGCACCCGGGCAGTATCCCAGCTCTCACACAAATCAAATGATCCGTGAGGCGCACATATATATGATGCTTCCTTGCACCAATGTTTATGTGTTTAAATAAATAGGAATTACAATGAAGCTATTGGATTGATAGTATAGGGGTTAATTATTACAATATATATGGCCATCTCAGTAGGCTTTCAGTAGCATAACACAGATATCTGATTTCCAGTCAGTGGGTTACAGATTTTGCTTGACACAAAATCTTAAGTCAAATAATGCTACTCATCCCTATAAAATAAAGACTCAGAGTCTAGAACACGAATCTATTGTTATTCCAAAGCTGCTAAGTTTTATCACCAACTATGAGAATAATAATGAATTAACTCATTAAGGTACTTGGGTATAAACCACACCCTAAGTGCGAGGACTAGTAATACTACCCGATTGCCCAAACCAAAGTAAGTAGGGCAAAACTCGAGCTTAAGGCTTAGTGCCCGAAAGTCAAACGCTCTAACCAGATTTGTTAAAGGGTATAGAAATGAACGTTGTGGAACTTTGAGAGGATTGTGTGGTATTGTGTTTGTGACATTGGAGCGGTGAGACTAGTTGATGGACGACCTTTGGGGGCCTTTAAAGTGACCTTGAGAATGTCCATATACTAACTAGGACGAAATGAGGGTTATAAATCATGGTGAGGAACTAGAATTAAGATTTACTGTTGATGGTTAAGAGTTAGTGCTTCTGTAGAGACACTTACTAGGTCTATCATAATTCAGGACACCTTGTCTATAGCTAAAGCAATGAAAAGGAGAGTCCCGAACCGAAGATAACCTATGGAAATAGTACGATATTCATATGTAACTTAGAAACTTACGACGGAATGCAAGCATAATATACAGCGAAACAGTAAACAAGTCAGTCAGGTGGACTAGGATTACTTACTGGATGAGAAAATGACCATTTACTTCTTGGCGTAATCATTAACAACAATAGCCTGAGAAAATTCCAACGAGCAAGGAACACGAATCCGAACTATCCATGTGGATATTCCAAGACTCGTACCGACCAAACTCGAAACAGCCGCTTTAGTATTGATTCTGATATCCTATACTATTTTGCAGAGAAATATAAATCAATAAATTTTTTGGTAATCACTTATTTATGCTATATAACAGTTATAGATCTCTGGATGCGCTTGATACAATTTATCCGGTTAATAATCTTCAATAAGCTATTTTGTTTGAAATGTTGAAAACCTCGTAACCTGGTAAGCTTTGAGTGGTCCCCTGAATGCAGAGAACACTTGAGGAACTGTCTTTCTAACTAGGCGATGTACTTAAAAGCTATAGGGACTGATGTATCATTCATAAGATTTGAGATTATACGGAATGAAGTCACTTCCACCGGTCTAGTGTATATACTTACCTTACATAAAGATCTAGCAAGAGATTGGTTCTCATCTACTAATAGCCTTGTTTAAAAAAGCTGCATGAAAATTTAATCTGTAATGTATACGAATTTTGTAAGAATCACACTATAAAGCAGCATATTTTTAATTTTAATATGTAGAAACAGGGGTGATCTTATCCGCAACGCAACCATGTAAACTTAATGTATCGGTCATCTGTGCGTTCAAGTAACCACAGATTTTGTCATTTCATAATGTATTTTTAACTAAATAACTAGATTATATAGCTAATTTTGATCTTTTTTTTTATATTTTTATTTGCCACGTCCGACTGCGTTACACTGCACGTCCATTGCATGTTGGGATGATATCTCAAGTTATAGTGAGTTTATTCACATAGTTGATTGTTTCCAGATAGACTGTCAGTGCATGATTTTACTGTAGAAAGGTTTATTGTACTATAAACTATGTTTTTATGAACAAATGCCTGTTGTCTTCAGTCGGAAAGCAATATATATATTCTTTGTCTTCCGTTCGGTAAGTTCAATTGACCTACATTTCGTGTTTTTGTTTTATAGTCTTAATTATGTCCATTTAAATACTTTAAGCAATATGCCTGTACAAATGAAACAATAACTATGACACTTACTTAGTTTAGTATTCTTGGTTGTCGTATAATTCAGTTTAGTTGAAAGAATTATGGTATACTTAAGTATAGTGCTTGAAGTCTGTAACGAAACAGATCAGTCTAGTAAGTAGAGTTGCCTGTTTCTGATGAGTATACTAATTCAAATCAGTCTGATTAAAAATAGGAAGAAAGTGCTTTTGGTACTGTTGCTGTCATACATTATAAGATAGCGATAAGTATGTTTGGTGTTTATTTCTAGATTGTACATCTATCACTGACCATATTTCATGATCACTGTCATTAAACAATTTCCCCAGCAATAACATCGGTAGCAGGATAGCTAAGTGTGTGAGCTTTTATTTGCCCACAGAAGAGCAGTATTCAGTCTTAGAAGATGAGTGTTCTGTATCTCAATTAAATGCAGTTGGCTGTGGACAAATGTTAAGAATCTTTTTGACTACTAGGACTTTTAGTTCATCAAACACTAACTCTGCTTGTATGTCTCCCTGTTAAACTAGATGGAGATACATGGTAATACTTAAATGAGAGCAAAATAATAAAAGCATTGACATACGGTATTAAGTCCATGTTATGCTTTGCACAAGTAATAGCTGACCTGACCTAATATTCATGAACTAAAGGTAAATCACAACTGCATAAATTCTTTGCTAAAAAACATGTAATTTGGTTATTTATCTATTCCACATTTCTGACTAAATTCATCACTATTTTTTCATTTAGAATGCAACAGGAGTGAGCCTTCACAAATCCTAAAAACTATTTCGCACTTGGAACTATGGCCCTGTTTACTGGAGACCCAACTAACAGCAGATTATAAAAAGGATACTGGACGTCCATTTTAGTTTCACAACCACTTCCAGTACTTTTTGAGTTACTTCTTTTACCCTTCGTTTGGAAAAACAACAAAAACTGCTGCTTAACATTACAAATGCAACTTGTAGACTGGAACTTGGTTTAAACCTTTGTTTGATATTCGATTCTTAATGAAAGTTCTCGAATAAATTTTTGAACCTAATGCTACTTTGTTTTACATACTTAATCGTTGCAAGAAACTTGTGATAATCGAGCCTCTCATCACCTAATTCATGTGTTCAGGCTTCCGTGTCTAGTAGCAGGGGATCACCAAAACCTCCAAGCAGGAACCTAGGTATGTTAACAATAAAAGACCCAGTCGCCTCCCAAAGGACTCCTGGGAAGTCGCTTGGACTAGTTCGGCGGGTAGCGAATTCCAGCATCCGACAACTCTTAAGGAGTAGAAGTTGCGTCTACAGTCCATTCTGCTATGTCGTGTCTCTAGTATCTGGGATTAAGCTCATGTAGGTGTTTAAGAGAATGTCCAGAAGTGTTAAGGATCCTGTAAGTAAATAGGTCACCTCTAAGACGTCTATACTTTAATGAGTAGAGATTAATTGATTAAAGGCGCTCTTCATAAGGTGATTTGGTGCATATATCCGTCATTTTCTTGGGAAACCTACAGGCTCGGGTCCTCCCACAACTTATTCTAGCCACCATGAGTTGCCACGAAAACTGATGGATGGACACGCGTTACACATCCTAATCGTCCCTGCGTCTAATCTCATAGCTTCTTATTCAAATGTCATATGATAAGCAAGTAATGTTTCTACCGACACTAATGGAAGACGAGTAATTCAAAGGCACCCTGTATGGTACTTTAGATTGGTCTACGCACTCGGCTTTTTATTGAGAATATTACTACAGTCCTGCTAAAAATCCCATGAACCCACCTATCACCATCAAAACAATAAGTCTGTATTTGCTGCATATAGCAATTTTATTTTTCAGAAGATATATAACAGTTAGAATTGGAGTAAAATAGCAATATACAGCAGATGCACGTGGTACATGTCTTCATCGATCAACTGAAATAGAGAATACGGATATTAGTTTAACATGCTTATCTAGAAAGACTAGTGTTTACTTTGAACTTACTGAGTGAGAAAGTTATACTGGAACTGTGAATAATGTAGGAATCTAGTCTCCCAGGGCGTACGAAGCACTCAAACAGGGAGACAGTTGTCCCAAAATAATTCGAATATGAAGGTGAGAATTTGCAGGTACTTTTCATCGTAAGGGTGAACATATTCGATAACGGTTGACATGACACCGTAAAAAAACACAAACCTGCGAGTGGTGAATTATGGTCTATAAAAATGTGAGCTTAATAACAGTTAGTTACCTTTTTAATCCCTGATCATGACCCTTCGGCTTCCTTTTGTGGCCAAAACACCAAACATACACTACACACTGATAGCAGATTTCCGGCTTTTCAATGTTAAGCTTGCTTTAACGCACTACGTAATGCGTATAACTCCTCCATTACTGCTATGTGGCATATTTTTTCATAACAAACCCTCTGCAATAGATTGGTAGCATCTGTGACTTCGTCTATGGTTGTCGGAAGCCTGTGTACTTTCGAAAACAATACTGACATCCCATACTGCTAGGCACTAAGTATTGGTTTGACTCGTTGTGGGATATTTTTGTCCGCAATACTGAAGAAAATTAAAAACCGTAAATTGGTTCCTTTCATTTTGCCGATAACATCATAAAGTACGGTTAGGAATGAACATGCGGACAGTTAGTCACAGGAGGCAGCAACAGTTATTTCAGCTAAGAAAAAACGAACTTCGGCTTTGGATATTTAGAAAACAAGTCAAAACCAAACCGATTTCCATTTTAAAACATAAGACTAACCAGCTTGACTGAATTACATTGACTAGAGTAGAAGCAGTAAAAACCCAAAAAACAATGCTGATTCGAAGTAAATTTCACACCAACATGTGGAACATTACACTAACTGCGGCATCTTAGTACATTGAAACATTAATTACATAGCTACACAAAAGAAATAGCTAAAAGAAGCACAGAACGAAGAAAGCCGGCCGCCATTACGTACAAGGATGGCTGACATAATAATTCCCGCCACATTCTGATTGGTTGCTAAGCTGAAGAGCACATTTACGAAATTGAGTTGCGTTTAATTGCAGCCTAGAAACAGCTATGACACATTCCGTTGTTATAATTCTAAGTTACCAAGGCAATTTATGTCGGTTTCTAAAGGCATATAACAGTAAAAAAAGCCGCTGCATTCCTGTTCCTTGCAGCTCAATGGAATTGCGCTAGTGAACACATATCCGATAAAGTTGCAATACAGGAACTGCTGATTATTATAATGACGACAACCAAATCAATCAGAAGAGTTCACTTGCTCCAATGATATTCCGTAACGTTTGTTATCTGACTCTTTTACTCTTTATTTTTGTAACTCACTTTATTATCTTCCAATGTAAATCTCCACTTCCCATATATCTTTTCTTTCATTTATATCCCTTTGTATTTCGATTACCATTTCCTTTATATGTTGTTAACATGAGTTACAAAATACAAGGTGTTTTTCATCGTTATATTTTTCTGCGATGAATAAATCATTTTGTTTCATGCATGGGCTCAATTTTCTTCTTTAATACTATTTCAGGCAAAATAAATAATGATCGAATTGTTTTATATTAATCTGGCCAAATGTATGCTTTCTTCACTTTGATAATCCTACATAAGAGTTGTATTTTCTCAGGTACGGTAACACTTTGTGGCAGATATTTGTTTATGCGAACGGCTCCCGTAAAGTCCTCTCATGTATGTACATGCAGCTGTTTGCAAAGTTAATAATGCTTATGACATTTTCACTGCATATTCCAATGAGTAATACTGCCTGTAATTGACCATCCTCTATATACCCCGAACTAATGGGAAGTGACACATCTACCACTTCTCCGACAACTGTCCCTAACCTTATAAGCTACATGAGTGAAAATCCTGACCACTCCCCAAATATACTACCCATCCATTCAACCTACTCCACCTCCACCTGAAACTTCTAAACCTACTGCTTTCGCCAAACAACCTACGAACTACCTCTCTCCGTTTAGACATATTGATAGTAAACGAAATGAACAGAAAGATGCAGCTGGTAATCCTAATTCTTCTTGTTCACTCACGAGAAAACAAATAACTTACT